ATTTTTATCACAGATTGCTAACGTACTTGGATAGGAAGTATGCTTATTGCTTAGAAGGTAATGATGCTTAGTCTACATTAACATAAAAGTACGTAAATTTACTTTTCAGAATTCAAAAGATTAATCTTTGAAATAATAGGAAACTAGTGCAGATATTTCACTGATAATCATGACATCAACAAACTAGACAATAATGCAATTTCATATTACTGACCGATTCCAGATTTAAACTGCTAAACAAGTACAATTCCTTGATATTTGTACTTTTAGAAATTATAATTAAGATAAGTGAATTGACTGATTTGAGCCATTTCTAGTTTACCTCAAGGTATATCCTAACGGAGAAAATGCTTACCAAGTTATTATTATTTGGACAACTAATGAAAGTCAGTAAGCAACGTAGAACACACTCTGTTTAGTAGAGCAATAGTGAGAAAATCAACGTTCCACAAGTAACATGAAATTCACTAGTATAGCTTCCCTAAAAGTGAAATACTACTGTTGATCAAAATTATGAATGTTTGATTTGAATGAAGTCAGTTCGAAACAATTTCATTAAAAAATGCTCTATACTATATTTTAAGTTTATTGATACTATAGTAACAAATTATGTCGAAAAGACAGTTATGGATGTGAGTTCGAACCATATCTGCACATACATGAACTTGAAATTTCGGAGATTAATTTTATGGAATTCATGCAATAAGTAGAGCCAACGGATCGACAGAAGCATTCATTTCAATCTATTAATGATTAACTCGAAATGATCTATTCTTTGAAATGTTTTAAACAATCTCGTCAAAAGTATATCATGTAATCCAGACTATAACTAAACACTTCAGAAGATAAAACTTCATATTGTCTGTGATTTTAACAATCATGCTTCTTTAACAAGACTATTTGTTCATGCAACAGATAACATATATTTATTTTTGTGTCATACTAACGATTTCACATGATAACTAATTCCTTATTCCTATTATTTTTAGATTTAGTCATGTCTGCTTGGTGATTGTCTTATCAGCATAACGTACGACTTCATTGTTAGTTTTCGATGAAGTTTTGTTCTCTGAGCTGTATGATTTGGTCGTGGAGCTTTCATCATTCTTCTGAACGATATCATCAGCATGAACTTCAGGTAGAAGTCGAAATCATCCACCTGAGTTACAAATCTCAACTATTTCATTATTTGTATTATTTATTTTATAAATACGTTCATGAATAGTAAAGAACTTGTAACATTTTTGGTGACTTGTTCTAAAATCAACAAATAGACAAGACACTTAAATTTTTAATGATCAATAAATCTTATTACCATATTTTGAGAACTGTAATGTGTGAAATATATGAAGGACGCTTTTAATCCTCCGTATAAACTATAACTCTGTTTTCAGTTGTCTTCTATTAGATACACAATCACTCATCAATCACTATCGGTTTGACCTATAAGAAGTATTTTGCCAGCAATGGAAGGTTTTAAAGAAAACTGATACTAAAAGCCAGTGGAGTTCGGAAAAGGATAAAAATATATCATGTTTTTACGATATAATGTGTCGTGACTTGTGCCTGATTAATATATGACGTGGTAAAATCACCAATCCATAATACTTGTACAACTTTAGCACTGTGTCGAACCAATGACGTATTGACGGGTAAGAGCAGCTTAGTGTCCTTATGGTCCTTTTACTGCCTAGCCCTGCCTGTTAAGTTTAGAATGTCAGTACCAACTCCCATCATATGGATCATATATTCCAAACATACCTGGTTTATATACAAGCCAACCAGACCACATCATACCACAAATAAAAAATAACGAGTGTACAAGATCAAGCCAAAGAGTGACTGTGATAGTGAGAAAGCGTAATTAATGAACTAGGTAAAAATTAAGGATAGCAAATCGTGAAATAATAGTCCATAAATCAAAATAAAGCTTATGATAAGCGGAATATAAATAAGCATAATCTAGTTACCCAATAATTATATAATGAAAATACATGCATAATATTAGTCCATTAATAGCTCTCAAAAGTTACCTATAATTTAACCTCCGCTAGAATATAACATAGTAATAAGAATAAAAGTAAATAATACGATATTATCATCATCGGCTAATCACCAGACAATACAATACACAACATACAACTATTTATAATTAAGATCAACTTCATTTAATTTCGTGTTCACTATTTTTCGAATGGAAATGAACTCAAATCCGATTCGCAATTTTGGCAGCCCACTTGGTGGCCAATCAGAATGAAGCGGGAACCATCATCTCAGCCATCTTTGCAAGCAACGGCCGTCGGCTTGTCTAGGTCTGTTTTCCCACTGGCTTTTTCATGTCGCTGCAAAATTTAGTCTTTCAGTGTGCTGAAATTCTGTAATTCATATGGTTCTCTAAATTTTGGCGTTAACATTTTTGAATCAGTTACGTTTCCTCCTCTTGCTACTACTACTACTACTCAAATCAGTATATTCTTCCAGGCGTGTTTATGTGCTCATATGATAAAATATTAATCCGTTTTGTTTTGAGTATTATTTTGTAGATATCGAAACAGAGTTAGCGTCTTTTAGCTAGAACAAATGCTGCTGCCATGTGGGATTTTCTAACTATCTGCATGTTCGTTCCTGTCGTTTACGATGTTATCAAGAGCAATGAAAGAAAACGATCTCCGGTTTATTTTCTTCAGTATTATGGACAACCCTATCCTATCAACGAGTCAAACTAACACTGAATATCCAGTCTGTGTGGATACCAGTGTTTTCGAAAGGGTTATAAAACCTAGGCACCTGACAACCTAGGACCAAGTCAGAGATGCTACCGATCTATCACGGAAGGTTTGTTATTGAAAATATACCATATAACATTATTGGATGACTTGAACGCATCACGTCGAGCATGAAAGCAAACTGAACATTGGAAAGCCGGAAATCAGTTACCAGAACGTAGTGTATATCTGTTGTTCTGGCCATAAAAGGAAGTCGGAGGTTCATGGTCAGAGTGAATAACTGTTATTATACTAACTTATGTATAGATTAAAGTTTACTGGTTGCAAATCCATGTTTCGTTTGAGGTATGATCTCAATCGGTATATAATAGCTTCATCTAAGATGATCCACAACCATTATTGTGATGAGAAGTATTTGACATATGATGCGTGGTACAGGAAATTAAATGTTGATCAGTTGCTAGTTGTTATACGGATGATAAAAACTGGGAGTCACCCTGAGCAGATTGTTAAATATGTCGAAGACAATTCTGGAGAAACCATTATCGTTCATTATATCAATAATTTGAAATATAAAGTTGTCAAACGTAAGTTTTTCCTATAGATCTATGGTTTTTCAGGCTGTGAGTTTCATTTATGTGTTTTCAACCTTACGTAGTGAAAAAGTACTTGTATGCTATGGCGGGGATGCTAACCAAGTGAGGAGAATTCAGTACTATGAGCAAATTGAAATGTATACATGTTTTCCTGAAGCAATTTGCCTCGGTTCGACATGCAACACTAACAGGATGTAAGTGAAAGTGAGATGGTAAAGATTTGTAGCTCAGGTAGACTTCTACCTGGAGTTTGTGCTGATGATGTCGTTCAGAAGAACAATGAAAGCTCTACGACTAAACCATTCAGCTGAGAGAACAAAACTTCATCGAAAAGTAAGTGAAAGTGTTCTGCCTATCGAATGTCTTTAGTTATGAACACTTTCAGTTGGTTTCTACAGATAACCGTGGGTGCGGGACCCGATTATGTTTGCCTGAACGAAGGAAGATATGGTGTGGATCATAAATCATGTTAAGTTTATCGAAGTGTCCAAGTCACCCAATTGAGATACGTGCAAAATCGAAGTTCACAAAACAACGGGTTGTCTAAAATAGCGATTCTTTACTTAATATACAAAATTGAGTTACAAACCTCAACTTGTGGGGTATCTGCAGTGTCTAACGCGTCCTTTTATGTGAAATAAAAAGAGCTTCCTGTAACAGTAACAAAAAATAATTACAACATACGATAGTGCAAAAGACAGCTGATAGTTGTGTCTAAACTTGGTAACAGTTTAACAACAAGCAAAATCAGAGCCAAGAGAAAACTATATGGAAACCGTTGCGTTTAAACAAATGCACAAAACTGTGGATAACTGCTACAGCAATTGAGACATCGTAATTATAATGATAAATACAATAAATGTTATAAGTATATGTAAATATTTCGGGATATTACACGACAAACTTGTTACAACGTAAGCGTAGAAATTGCTAAGAATACAACAATTTACTGGATATTATTAAGTAGTATAAAACAATACGCGAAAGAGTCGAAGTGAAGTGAATAAGGATAGGGGTGATAAAACAGACAACAACTAATCATAACGAACACTAGTAATACGGAAATATTTTTAATGGATTGTGCAATATCCGTCATATTTACAGTGGAAACAACTCACCGTACAGCCCACATAGTTTTATGTCCATTTCACGTGTGTACAGCCATGTGTAGAAACACCTGTAATCCTATATCAAAGCAGTACTTATGTCAACTTGTTCGTGAATAGTGGCAAGCTTTTATCACATTCAATGCATAATTAGTGTGCGTAGGATACGTAGATGGGTCTTTCTACACATGGCTTCACACACGTGAAGTGAACATAAAACTATGTGGGCTGTATGGTGAGTTGTTTCCACTGTATATATGACGGATCTCGCACAATCCATTTTAAATATTTCCGTATAACTAGTGTTCGTCATGAATTTAGATCCAGTATAGAATGATTGAATTGACCTAGTAAATATCAGGCAAAAGTGACCAGCAGTCTACCTTCCGAGCACTCTAGAAGACAAATTCGTCAACCAGTCATTGGCAACGAACAAGAAAAACTACATACAACGCAGGTTTTGAGGGCCAAACAATCCAAGTAAACAGCTGCAGCACACCTATAGGCAACAGCCAACCAAGTTTATATGGTTTGTCTAAAAGGTCACACTATGCAGCGTAAAAGTCAAACTTGAAGCACAAATAATTTTATATCCTATTACGTAAAAGCTTTTATTCTCAATTTACAAGGAGCTGGAAATAAAGAAAGTATAAGTAATGATGCAAAATAATTTGTCACTTAGTCAAATATTTGGAAAAAAGTAACGCGAAATCGCAATTTTAATGTTTAAAAAAAGTAACCAGTTTACTATAGATGTTTACGCAAAAGTAAAAACTAATTTTTCAACTATTCATAAATCACATTCATAAGGAAATATAATCCGAAGTAAGCACAAAATATTAACAATGGTGGTATTTTTCCGTTTTCTTCAATCTACATCATGAACCACAAACAAAATTAGGTTGGTTTGGCTAACCAGAAGGTTTGCGCTGCTGAAAACCACAGTTTGACTAAAAAAGGAAAGGTCAAACAATTGAGAATTAATTCAGTTTAAATAACACAATAATGGTTGATTTTCTGGACAGTGGAGATTAAATCAATATTAAATAAAATTCATAAAATTACAAACGTACAGAAAATTCCCTTATCTCATTATAACGTCCTAATGATGATCAATATTTGTAAATCAACGTAGTCAAACTGAGAACCTTTACGAACTACACAAAATAACTATGAAACTAGACACTGGAACACGTCAAATCCGGGAATATTCGAGAAGTGATATCATGTATGTAATCACAGTTAGTTAGAAATAACTCGGATGTAAAACGGTCGCTAAGGTTGTCGCGTCAGCCATAAACGATAAGCAATATGAGCATATGAGCATTAAGTTATTAAATATGATCTAAATATTCCAGCATACACGCAATCATTTGACTATATATATAGACTGGTCTGCAAGGAGTACGCCAGTTTTTGATCTGGTTATAGGTATGTTGATCATTTCCACACACATCACCGAATGTCAGAGCACAACCACCTTTATTGCAGATTAACAGTTAGCTTTTTGATATCAGGAGCACCTTCTATTTGCAAGACAGGACTATGCTTTATGATTATTTGTTGAAGGGTGTGCCTGAGAATATCATAAAACCCCTGTAAACAAACACTTCGTGGAAAACGATAGCATATAACTACACTCTTAATCGTCTCATTTCAGCAGTGGGATTAAGTAGGACTGGTAAATCCCACCAATCCTCATAAACTTTGTAATTGATATTCTGGAAAGTTCCGAAGTACGTAGCCATGGATCTCAAACATGTGATTTGTGTTTCCGTACAGTGACGGTAATTTTACCAGTGCCACCATCTTGAAACTTTGACGTCGATGGCTTGAGAATGTGTAAAGTATATCATCACAGGAGCTTCTACTTCGTGCATTATTCAATAACCCCTGGATTGATCGGAAAAGAAGAGAGTTGGTCAGTTTATGACATGGCGATGTTGTATGGAAAGTAGATGTATGGGACATCAAGAATCTCTAGTCGAGGTCCTAAATATGGTTCGACACAATTCTTGAAACACTATTCGATATGGCTCAAAATAGAAGCCAATGGCAATCCTGCTGCAGTGTTTCTGCATAATCCAAAAAAATGTAATGACTTTTCTAAACTGCGAGTCTTTGTTGGTCGTATTTTTACAGAAATATGTCTTCTTCCATATACTATTCTAGTTCACTTATTTTGTGTTCTGCCTCACTCACTTTTGAGAGGTTCATAAAATTCCGGCATCTTTATACCCAATTTTAGGCGAATTAAATAAATCAGTCATCTAATTTATTACTAAACGTACAGATCAACAACTATATATATACAATAGTTTAGTATCTTGTATAGAGCTCAAACCCATAAGACTTGAAAAACCGTATACCCATCTCATTTAAGTAAGACTTCCAAAAAAAATACAGGAGAGAAGCATTTTCCATACTCTATCCCCGGATCATTTGTGGATACTTTCTAGAATACTAGGTCTATGGTGTCAAGCTCATACCCAAGTAGTAGATAAGAAAGAAACAGTTAAAAAGATGAAACGAAGTCATCAAGCCGATCAAACAAATAACAGCATAGTATTATGATTTATTATTGTAGTCGTGTTATGATAGTAAACTGTAATATAATAATCCTTCACGACAATCCCGAGACAACTTGAACGCGACCCGATACTGCATAAACAAATAAGGAAACGTATTTGATGAAGATTGGAGAACACCACACTCCGAAATCTCAAAAAATCATGAACAGAATACTAAGTACGTCACTGGTGAACAAAAACAGAAATGAACCAAAAATGAAGCCTTTGAACTAGTTTACTAGTTATTTAAAAGTTTCGTACAACAAACAACTGCTAAAAATCTTGTCCCTGATGTAATTCTGAAACCATTTAACAGGTTAACGGAGCCGTAGTTCAGTGATTAAGGCAACTTAGACACTAAGTTACAGGTCCGAGATCCGTCCAATCTTCTTCGACTTGGGCAACCATGTGGCATAAGCGGACCTCACAATTAGTGTTCCCGGTGAACAAGTAGAATTAATAGGTACATAACCAACACACCGAGACCTGTTTTAGCCCCTGTACGATATAGTCGGTCTCGATAGAACTTGTCAAAATTCATCGTACTGAGATAAATTTAACCTCATAAAACAAATAAAGGTCAGTATACAGATGGAAGGAGATGACAATGTTTAACTATTGATGGCTTACACTCAATAAATCTAATACAATTTAGAACATATTCATCTGTCGGGTTTTTGTGAATTTACGGTATGATCTGTAACCTAACTGCTTTGGCCGAAGTATTTAAGGCAGATTTTAGACACGTCAAGTATAGGTTAAAAGTTGAGTGCTTAACATATTGAATTACAACACCACTAATTCCAATTACTGGTCAGACAAAGTCAACGCATTACATCTAAAACAAGAGGACGATGAGAGAGAAAAAAGACAGTGGAATAAACAGCGTATAGTGCGATTAGAGTTATTAAATACGAAATACTGAATAACTGACAACAATGAATCGAAACAAGAAAAAACTTAGCTCGCCAGTACACTACTTTAAATAAAACTCAGAAGTCGAACTAAGTGGAGTGTCTAATTAGAAAGCGAGATAATAAACAGCTTAAGATGAGAGCATCATACCTACAGTAGCTTTACTAAACATTTGTGAGGGAAGCCGTTTTACATCTTTACTAAGTTTACTTTTGATGGCTACCAAAAGACAAGAAACAGCAAAAATCGAATTTATAGTTAAACAATTCCACACTAACTCGTTGTTCCTAAAGTACTGCTTCAAAGTGTCACTAAATTTACGACAGTAGGTGATAAATTTTCGTTTTTGATCTTCAAGACATTTCTTTTGTGTTCCTGGTGGTAACGTATCATAAAACGCACCCACAGCAGCTAACAACATCTTTATCGCATCTGCTATTCCTCTAAGTAAATAACTTTTGTTGAACAATTGAATTACTTGATGACTTCTATAAATGCTCTGCGGTCGATAATTTCATCAGGTATGCTACTAAGAATAGTTTTCAGAGTCTTAGCCGTAAGTTCCAACTCCAAAACTCTAGGATTTCTTGACGTCCTTGGATTATCTGAAATTACATGTAATCTAAAAAAACATCAAAGGCAATACCACATTCTTGAAGAGCAGCAATCCGTAAACACGTTTCAGTCACATCGATTTCACTATCGACTCCCATCCGCTGAAGCAAGCCAATCATGAAATCTTTACTGAAACCAGGATACCGCTTCTCTACCTAATATAGGCACGAATTTGTATCCTAATTCAAACTTACCTTATAGAAAGCTTCCTTCAGTCGCTGAGTTAAAGCGTAATTCTCTTTTTCCATCTTAATAAAATCTATACCTCGTATGATAAAGACATACTTTGGCAAATGTAGGTTCGAAAATAACTTGTTTTGCTCGAGAAGCATTGCCGACTCTGTTAGTAGGAGCCACTGCAGCCGGCCACCTACTTCCAGCCATATTCCTGTAAGGAAGTGCACAAAAGTAAGTGCTGAGTAAGGAACAAAATTCTTTAGAAACCAGTAAATGCTTGAAACAAGTACATTATACCCTAAGGACAAAGATAGAAAGATCCCCACTTAGTATCCCATACAAAAAAATTAGATCTACATTCTCAACCCCTACTGTGTATGGTAAGCCTTAGAATTCCGGAATTGCACGGGTAGTTATCCTCAATACTTTTTTCAAGATGTTCGAGTCAATTAAACAGGGCCTTGGAGCATGAAAAATCTCCAAGTCTGGATCTCACTACGGCTGTACATACCATGGCAAACATATTTGTATCCAACTTGATAAATGTTAGTCTTGAAGCTCACATGGTTCTCAACCCTTCAGATGCAACTGCACGGCAGTATGGTGCGGTTCGAAGATTGCGACCCACTATTACAGCCAGATGGCTATGATACAGGACTAAGGACACTGAACTTCACAGGATCACACCATGCAAAACCAAATCGACCATATCTGCGTCAACAAAAAGTTCAGGAGGACGATGGAGGATGTGAGAACCAGGAGAGGAGCTGATATAGCATCAGATCATCACTTGCTGGTCGCCAAGATGAAATTGAAACTCAAGAAGCACTGGACAATGGGGCGGAAAATATCACAAAAGTTCAATACGGCCTTTCTTCAGGATACTAACAAACTCAACAAATTCAAGATAGTCCTCAGCAACAAGTTCCAGGCCTTTCATGATCTACTTAATGGGGAAGAAACTACTATGGAGAGCAACTTGAAGGGATCGAAGAGGCAATCACTTCAACATGTCATGAGGTTCTGGGCCACAAGAAGCACCATCACAAGGAATGGATCACTGTTGATACACTGGATAAGGTTCAAGAAAGGAGGAACAAGAAAGCAGCAATCAATACCAGTCGAACAAGAGCAGATAAAGCCAAGGCACAAGCTGAATACACAAAGGTAAACAAACAAGTGAAGAGGAGCATCCGAACCGACAAATGTTAATATGTGGAGGATTTAGCAACGACGGCGGAAAAGGCTGCAAGAGAAGGAAACATGAGACAATTGTATGGCACAACAAAGAAACTCTCTGGAAATCATCGTAAACCAGAACGACCAGTGAAAAGCAAGGAAGGCAAGGTAATCACCAACATCGAAGAACAGCGAAACAGGTGTGTAGAACACTTCAAAGAACTCTTGAATCGACCAGCTCCACTGAACCCACCCGATATCGAAGCAGCACCCACGGACCTCCCAATCGATGTTGGCCCACCAACAATTGAACAAACCAGTATTGCCACCAGACAAATCAAAAGCAGCACAGCAGCAGGATCAGACAACATTCCAGCAGAGGCACTGAAAGCGGATGTAGCAGTAACTGCAAGGATATTGCACATTCTCTTCAGCAAGATTTGGGATGAAGAACAAGCGCTAACAGACTGGAGAGAAGGATACCTGATCAAGATACCAAAGAAAGGCGACCTCAGAAAGTGTATGAACTACAGGGGCATCTCTCAATACCAGGAAAAGTCTTCAAATCGGTGCTGTTAAACAGAATGAAAGACTCCGTAGACACCCGACTTCGAGGCCAACAGGCCGGATTCCGTAAGGATCAATAGTGTACAGACAAAATCGCAACACTACGGATCATTGTGGAGCAATCAATTGAATGAAATTCATCACTCTACATCAAATTCATTGACTACGAAAAAGCATTTGATAGCGTGGACAGAACAACACTATGGAGGCTTCTATGACACTACGGCATACCTGAGAAGATAGTCAATATCAGACGGAATTCCTATGATGGATTACACTGCAAAATCGTGCATAGAGGACAATTGACAAACTCGTTAGAGGTAAAAACCGGTGTCAGGCAAGATTGCTTACTATCACTCTTTCTCTTTCTCCTGGTGATCGACTGGATCATGAAGACGTCAACATCTGGGGGGAAGCATGGGATACAGTGGACAGCTAGGATGCAGATGGACGATCTAGACTTCGCAAACAATCTGGCTCTTCTATCGCACACACAACAACAAATGCGAGGGAAGACAACCAGTGTAGCAGCAGCCTCAGCAGCAATAGGTCTCAACATACACAAAGGGAAAAGCAAGATTCTCCGATACAACACAACATGCACCGACCACATCACACTTGACAGAGAAGATTTGGAAGATGTAAAAACCTCTACATATCTGGGCAGCATCATTGATGAACACGGTGGGTCTGATGCAGATGTGAAGGTGCGAATCGGCAAAGCAAGAGCAGCATATTTACAACTGAACAAAATCTGAAACTCAAAACAACTGTCAACCAACATCAAGGTCAGGATTTTCAATACAAATGTCAAGACAGTTCCATTGTATGGGGCGGAAACCTGGAGAACTACGAAAGTCATCATACAGAAAATACAAGTGTTTATTGACAGCTGTCTACGCAAAATATTTGGGATTCGTTGGCCAGACACTATCAGCAACAACCTACGATGGGAGAGAACAAACCAGAAACCAGTGGAGGAAGAAATCAGGAAGAAGCGATGGAAGTGGATAGGACACATTGCGTCACAACCCAAGCCCTCACATGGAATCCTCAAGGCCGGAGGGGAAGAAGAAGACCAAAGAACATATTACGTCGAGAAATGGAGACAGACATGAGAAAAATGAACAAAAATCGGACAGGACTAGAAAGGTAGGCCCAGGACAGGGTGGGTTGGAGAATGCTGGTCGGCGGCCTATGCTCCATTGGGAGTAACAGGCGTAAGTAAAGTAAGTAAGTAATCATTACTTCTCCCTATGAGTGAAGGGTACTTGATTAGAATTATCATTATGAGTGGTGATTAAGTGTGGGATAGATGAGCGCCATGTATGTCATCTGGTGAGATCCATAATGTACTGTAATAAAGAGAGCGAGATTTTGATTTCTAGAAGATTTTAGTTAGACGGCTTTTTGATGAACCTGACTCTAAGCTCACTTTAAAAAGGTTACTGCTTATACTCTTACTACCTCTACCACTACGGGATTTGAATGAACAACTACATCTCTGTACTAATGTGGTATGGCAACTCGAAATGATGTACGTACGTAAGAAGCTCTACGTTGTTACTGACTGACTGACTTTATAAAAGGTACATTGAAGTCACCTATTATGAATGTACTGCACTGGTTTGACCAGGACTAGTTTGTTTGAGTCAGTCAGTCAGTCAGCTACAACGTAGGACCAGGCAAATAAATGCATCGGTCCAGGTTGCCATACTGCATTAGCACAGTAAGATGAACACCAAATTCATAGTAGTTAATTCAATGGTAATAATACATAAAAGAAAGATTGCATATAAGGATGTAGTACAGGAAGAAAGAATTAGTTCGTAGAAAGAAAGATATTAAGTGATTTTAATGTTACTTTAAGGGAAGATATAAAGTGTAAACACCTACGCCATTGTGATCGATTCTGAGTCATGTCAACCACAGTCTCCAACCATTAGTTACGATAGCCACGTGGACCCCGACCAAGTAGTCCGCATCTACCAACATGGCTCAGACTACAAGTTAGTATCTTCAAGGATTGATGCCACGTTTTGGTTTGGACGCCCCTAACTTTCTTCCAACCATCCCCAACACCGGTTAGCATTGCACGTCGTGGTAATCGGTGTTCAGGTATACGCAACACGTGACCCAACCATTTCAGTCGATGAAGATTCACAACCTCATCAACCGGTTTACCATCATTCCCTAATACCCTATGTATAACCTCACTATTACTTACCCGGTGATCCCAGCAGACGCCAGCAATATTTCTAAGGCATCTGTGGTTAAATACTAGTAGCTTACGAGCATCTTCTACTCTTAATGATCACGTTTCGCAGCCGTAATATAGAATAGAACAAACTGCTGCGCAGTATACTAGTCCTTTTATTGATAAACGGATATCCCCCCTACGCCATAGGCGACGTAAGTTGGCAAAAGCCAAACGAGGTTTTCGAATGCGTGCTGAGATTCCATCGGACACCAACCCATTAGGGTTGATCAGACTTCCAAGATAAGTGAGTTTGTCAACGCGTTCGACTACTTCACTCCCTATCCTTAGTTCAGGTGTTGACGCAGACCAATCCTGAAGCAACAACTTGCATTTAGAGAGAGAGAAACGCATTCCAAAAATTCTGGCATTGTTACTCAGTGCTAACAAAAGACTCTGCATTTTATCAACGTCTTCACCAAACAGGACTATGTCATCTGCATATTCTAAGTCGATAAGTGGACCTCCTGGAAGGAGATCAATACCCGATAATTCAGTCGACGAGAACGTTATTTTCATCAGTAGGTCTATGATGAAGTTAGATGAAAATGGAGACAGTGGACAGCCTTGACGGACACCACTTGATGTTGCAAAAGCAGATGACAGTTCGCCATAAGCTCTGACTCGATTAGTAGTGTTCGAGTAAAGAGCCTATACAAGGTTTATGTACTTCTGAGGTACGCCTTTCAATAACAGACACTGCCACAGAATATCGCGGTTTACAGAGTCAAAGGCTGCTTTTAATTCAAGAAAGACCATTATTGTCGGACGTCGATAAGTATGCCTGTGTTGTAGAACCTGACGAATGATGAATATGTGGTCGATGCACCCACGACCAGGTCTGGAGCCAGCTTGATTCTCTCGTGTTTGCAGTTCACGAGTCTTAGCTAGGCATCCGATAATTATCGAGACTAGTATTTTAGATACTGTATTAGTTAAACTAATCCCTCTATAGTTATCACAGGATGATTTTGACCCTCTCTTATATATTGGGACGATAAGTGATTGTGACCAGTCAGATGGGATAACGTCCAACTCCCAGATCTTAGCTAATATATTAGTCAACCTAATTGAGAGGAAATAATCTAATATACATTAAGGGCTACGGTAAACTACAACTAGTCTTACTCTTTACATCCAAGCCGGCACTGCATCAACTCAAATGTTCGGGATTTATGTACCACTGTCTTGATATCTCGTATGGTTACAGTGCTCTTTAAGCATTGAATAACGCCACCTCTACAGCTTATTCTGTCGATCCTTTAGAGTGAGAAACTAAGTGACCGAATTTTGCTATTATTTACTTCTGACGTTAGCAAATGACAATAAATTCCAAGTTTCCTATGCTCACCATATTTGTAATCCCCATAAGCGGATATAGTGAGTTCACTGTATTTGTTATGGCATCATTTGTTGCAGTTATCACATCGTATTCCAACCACGACCAGAAAGAAATAGACCCGTCTGCCACAATGCCACTTAAGAAGCGGACACAAAACAACTATTTTACAAACCAAAACGATTTTGGAAATCTTGACATTAAAAAGTAATTAGAGATGCAATAAAGGGACCAACACTGAACACCAAGAAACTTATGAACTAGTCACAAAAGGAGTGCGACAAGACTCACATGTGAACCATTTGATCCAGGAAGTGTGAAGCACTATAAATGATTGAAATCAACTCTTCGTTATATGACTCTAAGTAATATGCTCTGAAACCTTATTGTACACAAAAGTATGAGTTGAACCAACTATGCACATAAAAACGAACGACATGCTTGACCACATGACACAAAACCTAGGTGTTTCTGACCTGACAGTTACATGAAGTAAGCAAGTTCTGATGAAATGTCTACTTGCCAAACGCTGTCTCAGCTGTTTGTGAGCCTAGGAATATATGTGCATCACATAATTTCGGAACGAAGAAGACTGAAGTTTTCATAGGTGTGATGAAAACCTCTATAACAACCAATAAAGACTACTTTGGAAACTGCTATGGACGTAACTTTCGTGTGTATCACCAGCACGGTTGCAAAGCACAATTTTATTTCTAATGACCTGAGGTGAAATCACCTCAAAATCAACGCATTTCTGTTTATTAACATAATCTACTGAAGTTCTAGTTGTAAAAATTTGGGGTAGAGGGGTTTTAGTCGGCGCAAGTTCGCCATAATGTCGAAAGTTAGCACCAAAACCACCGTTTACTAACTCTGTATCGTTATTATTAATCGCTCCCGCTAATCTACAATTCTTCAATGCTTCAATACTTGTAAAGCAAACATAGATGACAGAAAATTTTCCAATGAAAATCTAAGATAATGGCATTGCTTGTTCAAAAATGTGTGGCGCAAATCATTCTCTTAAACCTGAAGAGATCTGTTAGGGTAATAAATATACCAGGACCGGTGAGAGTATATAAACGTAAATAAATCCCCAAAATCAATCACTCTATTAGTCTCCGACATTCGTTGCCGACCGCTTTAGTTTTACCGGGATCATTTAGCTGAAGGCGCCCAGTCATGCATCAGCACCAGATCGCGAGTGGGAACGCCGAGCTCAACAACCCCTGCAATCGCTAGCCAGATTAGATCAGACGGTCCTCGATATATTGATAGTCTATCAAATATATCTCGGAACCTCCTCGCTTCTGTCTTTTGATTTCAATTGTTTGTTAGGATTCGTAGTAGGTGTTACTAATTAGAGCGTCGTCAAACCCCAAATACCTATGACATCTTCATTGGTGAGCCCGACGTAATGTGGCACACCAAATTGCAAACTGTTTGTTTCTTTTTGGAATTCTGTATATTATTGCCTTGTATTAGTTTTTTTATATATTGTGATATTCTTTCCCGTGTTTTTGATGCATTTTTTCACTCGTTCATTCTCGTACTTCATATTTCACCATGACTGAACAGACACCCATGGCACTTAAGTTGAAGACTATGTCAACTTCAGTTCAACTAATGCCCTTGAAGATCCCACAGGTATTCGGAGTTTGACAACGCTTCAACCGGTAACACCTTCTAATATGAATCCTACCAACCAAGTGAAATCAAAAGACAGAAGCGAGGAGGTTCCGAGATATATTTGATAGACTATCAATATATCGAGGACCGTCTGATCTAATCTGGCTAGCGATTGCAGGGGTTGTTGAGCTCGGCGTTCCCACTCGCGATCTGGTGCTGATGCATGGCCGAGAGCCTTCAGCTAGGTGAGTCCATGAAAACTAATGTGGTCAGCATCCAATGTCGAAAACTTAATGAGCTATTTGTTTTGGGGATTTATTTACCGCTACACCCTTCTGGCCAGACAACATCGAAGCCTGGTTTCGCTACACAGAGGCCGACTTTCACAAGCACGGCGCGATCGACACACGTGCACAATTCCTCGTAGTAGTCAAAGCACCACCTCGCGAATTCAACGGGTACATAACACCTAGCATGTTTGCTAGCGATGTTTCTGAACCTTACGAAACACTTAAACGATCTATCCTTAACCGCGGAGACCTGATTGATTGACAAAGGTTAGGCCAACTCCTTGATAAAATTGACCTACAACACGGTTCTGCGACGGATATGTTGCAAAGAATGAGGGAGATCATCGGCCAAAGAACCTTCGATGATGGCTTATTTAAACAACTTTTCTTATCCAAACTTCCTCAACAGGTGCAAGCTGTGGTTGCCTCGTTTCAAAACAACACCTTAAACGAGTTGGCCGCATCGGCCGACCGCATCTTAGAAATCACCAAATTTTCTAATGCCAAGGTGTTTACAGTCAAAGAAAAACCTCAAACGACTCAGAATGACATAACCGAGTTATGTCATACACTTACACATTATCTTAAGTTTCGTAACGACCGTAAACGGTCGCACACCCCTCGAAGAAGCTCTTCACGCAAGCGGTCTGTCTCTAAACCACAAGAGACTGATAACCCCGACTGGTGCTTGTGTCATAACCAGTATGGAAAGTCTTCCAGAAATTGCAGAAAACCCAACACGTAACCGACCGACACGAAAAACCACTCGGGAAGCTTCCAAGCCGGCACGCGTTAGCGGCAACCGTAGCCAGCGAACATAGCCGTCTGTTGTACGTCACAGATGTGACAACGAGAGTTCGCTACTTCGTCGATACTGGCGCAGAAGTTAGTGTTCTCCTGCGAATTCTAGAGACCGGCTTCACGAATCGACTTTAAACTTATAGGCGGCAATCGGGAAGCCTATTGCCACATATGGTAGAAGGTACGTTTACCTTAACATGGGTTTACACAAACTAATACACTGGATCTTCTTTGTTGCAGATGTTTCTATGTCATGCATTGGTATAGACCTTCTACAACACCATGATCTCCTCATCGATACGCGCAAATGGAGGCTATTAGACGGAAACACTAATTTATCTGTTTGCGCAACTTCTTTCTCTGGTTGCGGATTATTTACAGTTTTAATTAAGCACATGACAGACCCGTTCTACCAACCACTACTCGTTAAGTATTCTGGGATATACCAAACGTAACCGAAATTGCCGTGTGCAACCAGCAACGTTAGACATCACATCACGACTACAGTACCACCTATATTCTCTAAAGCACGCCAACTAGCCCTCGAAACGCTAAGGTTAGCGAAAAACGAATTCAACCACGTGATAGACTTAGGTATCATAAGACCGTCAAACAGCCCATGGGCATCTCCGTTGTACATGGTCCCTAAAAAGAACAGCAACGATTGACGTTCAACTGGTGACTATCGGGGATTGAATGCAAAAACCATTCCCGATCGTTATCCGTTGCCTCATATTCACGATTTGACAGCTACCTTGAAAGGTACAACTGTCTTTTCGAAAATCGACTTGGTTAAAGCGCATAACCAAATCCCTATGGCTACTGACGATATTCCGAAAACAGCTATCATAACTACCTTCGGACTCTACGAATTTTCGCGAATGCCTTTCGGCCTAAGAAACGCTGCACAAACTTTCTATAGGTTCATAGACGACGTTTTTCGAGGTCTCAACTTCGCACATGCGTATGTTGATGACTGCCTAATAGCAAGTTCGGACAGAGAACCGCATCTCCGGCAATTAGATCTTGTTTTCGACCGACTACAAAAACATAGCATTACTGTAGACATTCAGAAATGCCAAATCGGAACTGACTCATTAGACTTCCTAGGACACACTCGATGCGCAAGGCATCCGACCCCTTAGAACCAAAATGGCTTCTATTCTGGATTACCCAGAACCGACTACCATCAAGCGATTACACACGTTAGCAGCCTTTTAAGTTTCTATAGACGGTTCATACCGTAATGCGCGTCACTTATGAAACCGCTAACCAACCAACTTCGTGGAAATGCGAAATCCATCGATCCGGACGACACCGCGCGAAAAGCATTCTTCACAATTAGGGAACTTATTGCTAAAGCAACAACGCATGCTCGTCGTGACACTGAAGCATCCATTAGTATCGCAGTAGGCGCATCCGACTCGGCGATCGGAGGAGACTTACGACAGTGGGTTAACCACTCCTGGCAACCTTTGGCATTTTTCTCGAGACGTTTGCTAGACACTGAATCGCGGTATAGCACTTTCAGTAGGGAAGTCCTGGCTATGTATTGTGCTGTACAGCACTTTCAACACTCTGTAGAAGGCTGAGAATTTACTTTTTGCCGAACATAAACCTTCAGACAAGTACTCCCATCGAGAGTCTCAACAACTAGCCTAAATTTCACGGTTTACTTCAGATACACAACACATTTCTTGGGCAAACAATATAGCGGAAGGCGCTCTGTCTCGTATGACTTCCTTGAACAGTGTCCAAAAAATCGACCACCTTGAACTCGCTCAGATTCAAAAAGAAGACACCGATCTTCACCACGACTTATCGTCAACAACACTTAAGCTGTCCATTAAACAGATGGGAACAGGTAAGGAAACCTTACAACGTAACACATCTACAGGTAGGGATCGCCCAACCGTGCAGAACGATGATCGACACAGTGTCTTCGATACGTTGCACAACATTTCTCATCCAGGTGTCCATGAGACTATCAAGCTTATGGCAAAACGGTTTTGGTGGCCTGGTATGAATGAGGACGTGAGGGAGTAGGCACACTCCTGTGTAGGCTGCCAGTAATCCAAGGTGATTAGAAACGAAAAATGTCCCTTAGGCTCTTTCAAAACTCCCGACTCTCGTTTCAATCATGTTCATCTGGATTTGGTAGGACCTTTACCAGATTCAAATGGATACTCTTATCTCTTAACCTGCGTAGACCGTTTCACGCGCAGGCCAGAAGCAGTACCTATAAAGGACACCACTACTAAAACAGTGACCCGCGCCTTCGTCGAACAGTGCGTATCAAATTACAGTTGTCCTTCAACTTTCACCGAAACCGTAGACGCCATTTTGAATCTAGACTTTCCCGTTGTCTGACTTCACTATTAAGCATAACAGGATTCCGAACGACTATCTACCACCCACAAGCAAACGGGTTGGTAGAACGCTTTCACCGACTGCCTAAAGCTTCACACTCAGCCACAAACGTTTGATAGTGGATCGACGCCCTTCCACTCGTCATACTTGGCGATGCGGTAAGAGCTGACATTGGTTGCACTGCAGTGAAAATCATTTACGAAACGACACTCCGGCTTCCAGAAGAATTTGTGGATCCCTCATCTTCTTCGATGAATATGGATCTAAACTCCTAAACGAGCAGGCTTAAAGACGCAATGCGTCCAGTTAAACCTGTTTCCACTCGGCCTCAATCAACTGATGTTTTCGTTCAATCTGACCTACGATATAGTGCACATATTTTGTACTTCACGTCTCACTTCGATGACCACTCAAAGCGACATACGAAGGACCATCCAAAGTTCTTCAGCGCGAACCCAAGTATTATATAATCGATAAGAACCGAACCAACGATAGCAACAGTATCGATCGTCTCAAAGCCGCGTATTTAGATGCAAACCCTGACCATATCTATTTTTTTTCGGCGCAATCGAAAGACACAAGTTTCACGATAACGATACTTCAACTGATAACCAACAATCATGATGACACTTCTAGGATATCTGACAGCCGACTCAAAACAACGCGCTCTGGAAGAAGAGTGAGATTTACAGAGCACTTAAACGATTACTACACGTAAGACACCACATAACATTTTGGTTAGTCTTGAATGTTTTTTATATCAACGTGTCACAAAAACT